ATCTGCTATGCATAATGGATGTGTAATTACTAAAAATGGAATTTGGTTTATTAATTTCAGGGGTGTTTCTAGTTTAGTGGTATCTATGTTTATACAATGTTGCAATTTTTTTTACTTTTATATGTTCAAAGGGCCATTGGTATAATTTGGAAAACCTATGAGTCGATCATGTTGCTGCAATGATTCGACCTTGAATCCCTGCGTGGCCATTACACTGTGTCATTGAATTGGGCTGGCATTGGTAACATGATACTGGGCTCCCTTTGGGTCCAGGATTTAGATAGTATGTGGACTCATTAGTAATTAAAATAAGGTAGGCTGATGGGCTCAGGTTTGAGCCTAAACTGGGCAGCCTTGTGTTAATTAAACCATCCGTCCGTTAATTGAAGAAGTATAAAAGAATAGTCATTAGTTGGGTTGTTGGGATTACTGCTGAATGAGACAGGAATCCGGGTAATCGGAAGAATGAACGGTTTGAGTTTTGGTCATGTTATGCATTGGGCTTAATATCAACTTCATTTTTTTCTTCATTTATACTAGTAGTATATTTATTTAAGGTAAATTGCTTGCATTCGAATGTTGAATATTGTTTGGTTTATTAATTATGCAAGTTTGCTTTAAGTGGTTTAGGCTAGTCCATGTAATAAAATCTGGGTGTTGTAGTGCCATGATAAAAGTCATTTAATTGTTGAAATTTCACATTTCAAGCCTAAGGCTCAAGAATGCAAAATGTGGTTATTCTCGTAAATGTCTCTACTTTAGTGTAAGGCTAGTTATTCTTGCAAATGGCTGTTTAATTAATGAGTAATTAAGGCTGCAAATTAGAATAGTAAGCGCAGTTTCATAGGTGGGAGCGAATTAACTAATTAATGTAAGAATTTAATTGAGTCATGCCGAACAAAAATGACAATTGCGTGACCCTCACTTTAATTAATTTTCAACTCAACTTTAGAATTCGAGGCGTGCCATTCAGCAAAACTCCATGGGACTCGCAAAGTTAAAACGCGTAGTTGCTTTAGGCGCGTATTTTAATCCTAAACTCGGGTGCACATTTATGTGACCCAAATTCAAATCTTAACAACGTTAAATAAAATATGTCGCGAATCGCGGGTGCATTTCATGTGGCATGATTACGGGTTCCAGAATTAAGACCAACGTATGCGTTCGCGCAACATCGGGCGAAACAATCTTAATCTTAATAAAATACTATCGTGGTTGTGTACATGTTCGCGTGACATAATTACGATTCTAAAAGCAAAATCGGAGTATGCGCAATTTTGGCCCAATTTTCTTAACATTAATAAAGCGTTATTAATCGTGGACACGTACGCGTGACATGATTTTTGACGCGCCAAACAAATGGGTATACGTGCGCGTAACCCGTTTCAAGATAATTTTCTTAATTAAAAAGCGGTTAAAGTTAAAATTGCACGTAGGTTCAAATCGTTCTAAATCAGATAATTAAGCCGGATATAACAATTAAGCGACCGTGCTAGAACCACGGAACTCGGGAATGCATAACACCTTCTCCCAGGTTAACAGAATTCCTTATCCGGATTTCTGGTTCGCGGACTGTATTACAGAGTCAATCGTTCCTCGATTCGGGATTTTAAACCGGTGACTTGGGACACCATAAATCTCCCAAGTGGCGACTCTGAATTTAATATAAATAATCCCGTTTCGATTGTCCTTTAATTGGAAAACCTCCCTTATATTTACACCCCTTTCTCGGGGGTGCAGTAAAAAGGAGGTGTGACAGTTGATGCTTTTCTTTTGTTGCAACATATCTAATCCACTAATCTTAGGTTACGCGCTTTGCGCGTGTACCCATACTTTTTAGAATCACGTAAATATTATAAAATGTATTGAGTTATATAAGCTTATAAAATGAAATTCAAAGAAAAATTCCTAAATATAATGGATATTGTTCTCATTAATTAGCTCAATAAATGAAAAAATTATGTCTCACCAAAGTTTTTAGATGCCTAAGTGTAATTTAAGGGGACATCTGTCGGAATATTTTACGAAAATTATATTGTTCATATGACTTGAAAACAAAAAATAAAAATGCTTTTAGCATGATTTTTAAATATTTATCAAACAATACAAATAAAAAATCAAATATTTTGGTCTTTTAAAGATTGAGAATGAAAAGATTGGCCATACACGCACCTCCTAAAAATATTAGTAGCACGTACTTAGAGTTTTTCCTATTACATATGTTTATATATTTTATTTGTATTATGTAGAGTTGTTTGTATTTTGCCGATGATGATTTAGTTATATTGCATTGTAAAGAAACCTTAGATATTAGATCTTTTAGTGTTCGTAGAATAATACGAAATAGTACTATTTTAAAATAAAAGGGATCATTTTCTTATTTGAAGTAAAATCTCAATTGAATTTAAACTCCTAAATATCAGGACCTAATTCAATAAGGAAAGATATAATAACCAAAATTTATTGATTTTAAAGTCCTAAATATTAGAAAAGTAAATTTATTGATCTTAAAGTCCTAAATATTAGAAAAGTAACTTAAATTACTATTTTGTTCATTGTAAATTAAATTTTAAAGGGTAAAAAAGACGAACGATATTTCGTTAAGGGCTTTGGTGCTTTTAATATAGTATAAGTATAGATATTTAGCTTACTCCTTGAAAGCTTCTCAACTTCATGGTAGATCATTATGTCAATACAGAAACTCAGTTGAAACTTCAGCACGAGGGCACGCACTTGGCAAAGTTAGATATTTACTGTACTACAGGTGAGCGAAATATTGCAGCGGATACAAAAAGGATACTGTATTAACTCTTAAGATGTCATTCAAGTAATTCCTGAAAAAGTTTTACGTTGACATATACAAATGGCTATGAGTATGCCCATTTGTCATCTTCTCAATTGTAATTGGGCTGGATGAGCATATTTAAAAGGGATTTTTACCTATCTATACCATATATCAAACCTTATTACCCTCAATGTTTAAGGTTTGTGTTTATTACATTTAAGCATACCAAATTACCATTTCTATACCATAATTCAAATTAGGGATATAATTAAGGGTTCATTTTTATTAGGCATAATTATAGGACTGTATCTTCCCACTTTCTCTTTCCTTTCATCTCAACTGTTCACAACACACACAAAACTCACGATGCTCCTATGCTTCCTCTCGTTGATCATCCCCAACTGCCCACCACCGTCGAAGAATATCATATTTTCAGATTCACAAGAAAATTTTAAATTCTT